GCCGAATACTACTAAATTTTATTGGATCTCGTTGACAAAAGTTGAATTAATAACGATTTTATGACGATCCTGACATAGATTCTTAAACCATAATCTTTTTTATTTCAAGAATTATTTATAAATGGTTATCAGTAATTTTTTCTTATTAAAACTAATTACATAGAGAACTAGTTTTAGAGCATTTATTTATAATGACAGCGATCGTAAAATGCTAATGCAAAAGACATCAACGCGTATCCTAAATCTTATCTTACTTCTTACTTCTTACTAATATTATAAATGCGAAAGTTTAGATGGATGGATGGATGCTTGTTAGAGTTTGTAGCCTAATTTTTTTAAAATTTTTTTTTTTTAAAATTGTAATTCCAGGCGGACGGAGTCACGGGCGAAAGCTAGCTAATAAATAATTATGTCAGATATTAACTTACATGGGCTAAAGCTTGTAGAATCATGAATAACCGACGACACTAAGTAATTATTTTTAATAATTGGCATCGCTAGTTTATTCTCATGTACAAAGATCATTCATTATTCAAATACTGTTCCCATGTTCATTAATGGCTTGCCAATACATGTGTTCATGCAATTGACCGCAAATAAGTGTTTAAACATTATTCAACACTATATTATGCTTTAAATGTATTTTATTAACATAATTTCTTATCCGGGTATGGATACTAGACAGTCCATATAGAATAAGCAAATAATCGATGATGTAAGGGTTTTGTGGCAGTATCGTTCTTATATTAAATGTATGAAACAGTAGATTTCTTATGATACAGATTAGTGTAATCGATTCTAAATATAAAAGAGATATTCATTCGAGATATTGTTTCAGACATCACGAAACAACTGTTGTACGGAATGCAAGTAACATTTATAACGAAACGTTTAGTAACCTACATTAAATGTTTAACAGCGTGGCGCAGCGCTTAAATATACTGTAGCGACAAGCTACCAGTTATCTGCGTGGGAAACTCGAGCATGCAAGTACCGCGAGTAAATCTGGTCAATATATTTTAAGTTAGAATTCGACGCAGTCTGGCCGGCGCGGCGCGGGCTGCGCGAGGTATGCGCGGGCGCAGAGCGTCATACCGAACCATTATGCGACTAGATTGTGCATCTTTGCGAAGTATCTCCGGTGTCTCGACGCTAATAATTCACGCCGCAATCCACCTATATCTATGCACGGTATAATCAATTCGCTACCAGCGGCATGTCTTTACTAGGTCAGCAAATTAATTTACTCAACATCGTAAAATGGAAGAACTTATTGCATAAATTCTTCGTACAAAATACGTTTTAGTTTTATATTAAAAAAAATGTAGTAGTAATAAAATAACAACTGATAATATTGGTTTTAAGGATGAACTTATTGTGTCTGTTACGTTACATATTCCTGTTATAAATTCTTTAGCTCAACCTTGTGTCAGCGGGCGAGTCACGACGTTAGTCCAATTTAGCATATTTATCTGAACTCGGTAGATTTAATAGCTCTGTACTGACAATTGTGTTTTGTTTAGCATTAAAGATAAAACTGTACTTTCATGTTTATTTAACAACGCTTGTAAAACAAGATTCGCTAAATTAGTATCCAGCGAAGCTGTTAAATTCTGACCTACCGATGCTTCAAGTAAATTGGATATAATAATTTCACTTTTATTACAATCTAATGGTAATGTTAAACAATTTAATGGTAAATTATTACGTGGGTACCCAGTAATAATTTAACATAAAATTGCAACAGGCATTTATAAGAGAGATCAAAGGCTGAGCAAGGCAAACGGTCATCTTTAGCGAAATGCCAAAGGTGGTCGCGACTCGCCACAACGCGGCCGGTGACGTCGCGTCGCTCTGGTATGCATTATAGTACCATTTTAGTTCGGCCAACATTCATCATATACGAAAAAGGCAATTACAACTGTTTCCGTCTTTCCTTTACATTTAATTTCCTCATCACTTCGAACTAACAAACAAAGAATCGACCGCAAGTCCGAAGATATCTATGGACCGTTTTTGTTTGTAACAACAAAATTATTTACATAAAGGTTTCTTGCTAATTCCGACGCTGTGCTCTACATTAGCTATATTATTTAATATTAATACTTTTTCCTCTCTCTTTATTGTTAAGCTTTTAGTTTCATTTTTGCATCTAACAAGAGCAGAGTTTAAAATTAATGATTCACATTAACTATGATAAAATACTGAAGTGAAAATGGCGTTGCACAGATACACTTTCGAGACTGAGCAGCATAGATGCGCTGTATCTAGTGTCTTAAATCAAAGTGACAACTGAAACTGTGTTGGCAATCGTGGCAGTCACAGCGCACCTGCGCAGTCGGCTCAGTCGGTGCGGTCGGCGATCTACCACAGAACAAGTCAAACCATTACGACGCCGATGTAATGCCAATTAAAGCAAACTATTGTCATTGATCGTATTGATAACCATCTCGATACCTAAAGCATTATTCGAATCCATTTTTAATCTTTGCTCACTTTCGAATTACAGAAGAAACCTTCGGCACTCCTTTCGTAATGCAGACGAATTAAGTGGCGCTATGATTGTTAATATGGACTTTAATTTTTAAGAAAGTTATGATTAGACTATATTTTTGGCAACTCGTAATGTTTGCTCAAATAATTACGCAAATTGATTCTTAATATCTTCGTAAAAAAAGTAAAAATGCATGTCATATTCTAACAATTTAGTTCAAGCAATTAATTCGAAGTTAATCGAACTTGTAGGTGTTGTAGGCATTTATTATAATGATTAATTGATGCCGTTCAATAGAAGGTACTTGTAAGTAAGCAAGTATTAATACTCCTTCGATTGTTTTCTAACTAGACCAAAATACAGTTATCCTGGTTTCAATGAAATGTTCTTGTTTTATTAACCGTTTTTATTTGTAAAATATTATCAATTAGAAACTACAGTGGTGTTCTCAATCTTCTCTGAAGATTAAAGAGTAAATGTCCGAGTAAAACCCGAAGTCGTGAGGCGAGGAATGCGTGGCGTCGTGATCCGCGCCGGCCATTGTGTCGGCCGGCGGCGGGCGCTCGCGAGGCGGGCGGCGGGGCGCGGGCGCGGGCGTGGCGCAACCCGCTTGTTAACCCACATGCACCACCTCACAACCGCCGATAGCTCAGTCGAACTCATCAAATTCACATCCCTACCTACGTATAGAAAAAAACTAACTTAAAACGATTTTCACACACATTAGTTTTGCAAATCTTCGGTCACTATCAGTGCCCGTTACTTGACTTGAGCGATAACACTTTAATGTTGTGGAATATTGGCTACATACAGGTAGATGCAGCGCAGAAAGGATTTCCACATAAAAGTTCAAGATTCCGATGCCAATGTTTTGATGTCAGAGACAAAAAGTTAAAGTTGGGTTACCCAGGATAAGGGACATTTTACGTCAAACACGTTAAATATGTTAAGACATGAGTTGTAATGAAAAGTATCTTGTTGCTAATAATGAGTGCAGTGTAAACACCGTCATTGCAACGTTGCAGTAATAAAACTTTACAATTTACATATAAGTATACAAGTGAAGCAACGTCGACGTTTAGTACTGATTGAATTTTGAATTTTATGGATCATAGCTTCGCTATTACACTGTAGTCCGCTAGTTATATCGTTAGAGTACTAAAATAAATAAATTAATTATTATGTCAGACACCACCGAAGTTTACTTTATCATTTTTAAAATAAAACTTTCGCTTAACGAATATAAATTTTCATTTTTTATTCAATTAATTATTTCATAGAGTTATTTTAGAAATTTCAAATGTATCGGTTAAATTAAAACTAGATTAAAAGATACAGATACCTAGAAATTGATACTGGCTGAAAAGATAAATCAAATACTATTGTGCATACGGCCAAAACCAATTGTATTGTAGTGTACAAGGTTGTAAAGTAACCGCGTATTCACGCCTCGTAAGTATCGTCTCCGGCGAGCTCAAGCCGATACGTTCCTACACAGATTATATTTATATATTCAATATTTCGTCAAATTTCAACAAGTTGTGATTGTATCAGCTGACAGATGTAACTTGAGAGCGGGTGTTTCGCTCCCTCGCGCTTGCTCCAATTCATCGTGTCATTTGACAGACCTTTCTCATTTTACGTGTACTGAATCAGTCATGGAAGAACGATATATTAAATATTACACTTGATATCGGTATTTAAATGTTCTTGTAATGTTAGAAATGTATGTGTGCAGCTGAAAGTTTAAAATACTCTTTATTGAATACTAGAATGGATTGAAATAGTGTTACGGAGAAACATAGTAGGGAAATTGCCAATAACTAATAAAATTTGGTCTTCTTTTTTACACAATGTCAAAGATTTTAAATAAATTATTAGTCTTAAAGTATAGAACAAATATTAAGATTTAAATAATATTCCTCAAGTTATTCATGTAACGCTTGACACCCGACTATTTGTTATGCGATACATATATGAATTTGCATTTAAATAATGCAGAATATCATTCAATCACATATGATTAAAATAAATGCAAGAATTTAAAGTCTAAATTAGTGTAAAATTTTAAATGATGTTATGAACTTTTTAAATACTTCAATTAAAGCATTACTATTATAATAACAGACTATACTTACTTAATAATTCAAATGTGAGTTTGCTAGTAATTGTGATTAGTTTTCACTGTTGAGTGTTTAGTTTAAATGCGAGCGTCACGAGATGTTCGCTCGACCAGTACGTGACTAGTTCGGCCTATTTAACACAGGCCCCGAACACGAACCAGTAGTTTATTAATTAAACATTCGAATACCATGTACAGGCGGATTCAATTAAATAATCGCTAAGATAAAATACCACTCTAACAAAATATTATCTGCAATTAGTTTTAAATAAAAAGTAAAAGTCTTTAAGGGTTTCGAAATATTGGATTAACATTACAAGTAAAACTAATAGACAACTAGTCTATTCGATTCGAAAATTAATTGTTGATTTATTTTATTTTCAGATTCATCAGTCATCGCGTCGAGCTTCAGCGACTTGTGATCAATATCATGGAACAACAAGAGCTCTGCAACGCCGCCACCGAGAGCCTGCAGTGCTGAGTTCTTGTCGCCCACAGTACGGGGTTGGGGTGAATAATGGGAAAAAGACACGTTCGGATCAAGTTTGCACATTCCATTGGTCCGCCTCTTGATTTGAACAAGTTGGGTAGGTCCGACTAGCACCCCAACCCACGCCCTACTTACGCACTATCAGTTACCGACGCTCTAGCGACTGCCAATAAAGTACAAGTCATAATCGGGTTATACATTATTCAATTATTTAAATTTAGATTTATTTACTTTAGTACAAACCTTAATCAGAAAAGGAATACGGCGATTCAGCCGATGTTGAAGAACGAACTGGGCCGTTGTCCTCGGTCAAAACAATAAACTGTAGTCATGACGGCCACTGCACCAGAACTGTCCAAGTCAGATTTCTTTGATTTTGTGACATCGAATGACGTTACTGATGCCCAGTACAAACAACAGATGAGATCTGTTAATGTGTTCATGGAATCACCGGACTCGAGGTCGAACCCTTTGTTGTCGGAAGAACCGAAGGAACAAAATAACAATAGCTTATTGAGCGTAGCGGGAGGACAATCTACTGTTAGTAGCATGGCCTCGGCGACCACATCGAATACGTTACAAAGTTTTGATTCCATTTGGAACGTAGATCGAGACCGAGATCGCTTAGAAACTGCGATGTTAGAAGATCTCAACAAATTCTACTGGAATCAGGATAGTGAAATAAGCGGTGCGCATCCTTGTACCGACACCGCTATTTCCAACAAACTAATTAGTAACAACACGGACGGTCAAATTTATACTCTAACTGTTCTCAACCAAGACATGGGAGAACCGAACCCTAACCGATACTGGGCAAAGGAAGAAGACGTCTCAATGTCGAGTCCTACTGACATAGAGCAACAATCCTCACTAGACCTCGAGTCGATATTAAATATGAACGGTTTCCCTAACGACTTTAGTCAAGATTCATTAACTACTAATATACTACCAAAAGTTGAAAACTTTAATTACGAAGAGGCGGAATCAGAAAATCAAAGTGCGGACATGAGCACAAGTAGCTTGGTTAAAGTAGAACCCTACAATTACGATGAAAATGACTTTCAGAGTAACGATAAGAAAGATGATTCATGTAGTTCTATTATAGGGACTCCGACACTTTTGGATAGTCAAGCGGAATTTAACAACAACAATAACGACTGGAAGTTAACAGATCAAAACACGGAATCTAATGAGTCCTTACTAAGAAGCGCTCTCCAAGGGAAAGCTTTTATTAGATATAGCACGATACAAAAGAGTAATATATCGAAGATAGATGCTGAAGCGGAGTTGAAAAGGGTTATCATAAATAACAATAATAAAGCTGACGTTCCATCAATGTACCCAGACAATAAAGATAGTGAAACAGAACTTTTGATGGCCATCGCTCCGCAGAATGGAAACGTAAATATATCAATACTATTAGAAGACCCTACTGCGACTGTCATTGCTAACGGTGACAATCCGACCTCGACTCAAAGCGTCGACGATATTTTACTTTCACAATTAGATGCTAATTATCCTGATGACTACGAGAAGCTAAAGCGAATAGCTACAGAGTTGGGCGAGTCCGTGCAGCCGTTTTGCACCGTCGAGCCCATCGACCCGACTCGGAGTGTTTACAATATTCATCATGTAAACGGTGAATTAGTGACGATGATACCTTCGAGTGAAGTACAAATACCCCAGCACTTACAAATTGTGACCACGTCACCCGCAGTCACCAGCACAAAGTCTGTGAGTAAGAAATATAAGCGGATTCAAAACAAGAATCCACCGCCATCAACACAATCACCGTCAGGGACCGCAATACAAGCGGCTACATCTACGTCAAACGGCGTTAGAAAAGAAAGATCTCTACATTACTGTTCGATCTGTTCGAAAGGTTTCAAGGATAAATACTCCGTGAATGTACACGTTCGAACACATACGGGAGAAAAGCCTTTCTCTTGCTCGCTTTGTGGTAAAAGTTTCCGACAAAAGGCGCACCTGGCGAAGCATTATCAAACGCACATCGCCCAGAAGAGCGCCGCCGCCAATGGGACGGCAAAACCTACTAAGCAAAGGTAACCGTAGCACCATCGCTAAACTTTCGTCGGTATGCAAAGATAGTCAAAGGAACTTTGTTACAGTGAGAGTGATTTACTAAATAAATACGTAAAGGCTGACATATCACAGAAGAGTTGGTAAGGTGCTAAATAAACTAGTAGTTATAGAGAAATAAGGCAGTTGTGTATGGTGAAACATTCGTTGGATACTCGAGGCCGTAATGATATTTGTTAATTTGTACGTAATTCCGTCCGTTACCGAAATACTTTTAGGTTTAGCTAGTTTTAGCTAAAAACAAATACAATTAAGTAAATTTTATTATGAGATTTTTTTCCACTCTCCGTTCCATAATTATTAGTCATGTCTACTTTTTAAGAAATGTAATGTTAATCTGTTTTTTTACAATCAACTAAAGTAAAAGTGGCGTTTATTTTTCAATGATCTTTATTATGAATCGATAATACTCAGAAATTTTTTACTATAACGAACCGCAAGAAAGACTCAATTCTTAAAATAGTTTTTTCTACTATTTATATTATAAAAAGTTATCAGATTAGTTGCCAATAATGATGTGCAGCTTTAGGATTATCTACGAGTCCGCCGGCGCCGTAATTTCTCCCGCAGAGCGACCGACTAAACTTTCTAAAAAATAAAATAAAAAAAAACAGAGCAAAAGAACGAGCATTCAGTACCCACCATCTTTCACCGCTCGACTATCGTATCTATACATAACATTCCTCTTAGGTCAATTTACCGCGTTCGTTTTTTATGATTTGCCTACACAGTACTGTGAATGAAGTTGAAATCTAATGATAGACATTTGTACCTTATTTAACAATCACAGTTTCTTTAAAAGGCTTTACAAAACACGGTCTTTATTTTGAAATTGCACAAATAACAACTAATAAAAACTATAAATTGATTATGTCATTCGTCATTGTTAAACTAGAAAAATACAGTGAACTATTAAATTCTAGATATGGTATTAGAAGAGATTTTTAAAACAGTAAACATTCCAGTGAAGGGCAACATAATCCTGATATTACTTTCATCGTATAGGAGAGGCGTTATTACTGCAAGAACGCTATAAATTTGTAATAGACGTGGAACCATAACTGCAGTGTTTAAAATTTGTACTCCCTTTCTCATCCAATTGGCTTTTCTTTGTTTTATCCGAGCAACAACGTCATTAAATTTCTCCTCACTTGTTATTAAGTAACATATTTCTAAACTACATATTGATTTAGATGATAGAGAATATTTCCAACTGTATCAAATTAAATTTTCTTTAATTACTTGAAATCAAATCTGTGTTGCTTTCATTTTTGTTATTGTGTGGGAACTGCGTTTTGGTTATATTACAAATAAAACTTTCACTTGCTTTAAGATTTGAGGGTCCACATTTTACTATCAAAAATATTCTGCGTTTCTGACAGATTCGTAAAACCACATCGTAGTAGAGAAATAGGCATTTTGCATTATTGTTACCCTAATACATAATTTAAATGAAACAAAACGACCTGCTTTCCTTCGAGAAAGACAAAATTACTTCCTTTCGTTATGTCTATATTATAGGTTATCTATCCAGTTTCCGCAAAAACGAGACCTACGTACTTAGGCGATTTCTTTTTATGTATCGGATGTCATAACGGCAACGTATTCATTAAATTATATTAGGTACGGATGCTCGAATTGTAATTATTATCAATCATTTAATTTCGCGGCATCAAGACAAACGTTATTCATGCTAGCCAGTTTATTTGGCAAAATAACATCGCTTCCTTCTTACAATAAAAAGGACAATTATTTTTTATAAATTGGTTAATTAACAAAGCATTATTCATTCATTACTTTTAATTATCTCTTTTTTTTTAAGTCCCTAATTTAGGTATTAGTAGAACACAAAATAATTTCATCTAATCTAAGCTCTGTGGGTAAAATTATGGGTACTTTTTTGTTATATTTGCACTTCAATTGGTTTATGACAACTTTTTGCATTTTGATTACCTTATTGCAACATCTTTTCTTGCCAAACTTTTAACATTGTAAGTATTAAAAGTTATCAAACACTGCCTTATAAGTAATGTTACAGTCTGAGTGAGAGATTTTAATTGTAAAGTATACTAATAATTAAATGCATGTCGAAAAAAATATGACATCACAATGTCATATTTTTTTCAAAATATTTACTACAATAAGTAAAAACTGTACACAAGTTTCTAAAAATTGTAACGAATTAATAAATCTTCGGCTTCAAACAGTAAATATATATTTCTATAAATTGTTTTGAAATGAATCTATAATGTTGTGTTTTGTCGAGTTTATATTATACATTGACTATTATTCAATGTAATAAATGATTAATAAAGATATCCTTTATCAATACTCATTATTTGTAAATATGTACAACAGAGAGATTTAAGGAAAAATTAATTTTGTGACTTAAATTTATACTCTACCACTTGTATCTCATTAGATGGTATTTTGAAAGTTAGCGAATTTATAGATTTTATAAGATGTAAGAAACTTTTTTGAGAGATTTACCAATTAGATATAAGATACTATGGCTACCTTAATTATTACGAGCTCGTATAAGTAATGGTTGTTAATATATTCTTGTAATATATTATGTTGGTTTTTGAGAACTTATTTGAAAACAAAAGACGGATTTATTAATATTGATCGATCATTATTGCATTTGTTCCTGAGTTGATTATTAGATTTTATTGATTGTAATGTCTCGTTTATAAGTTTAAATGAATAATTCGTATATGAGTAATTTAAAGACCGTGTAATGTCAATGTTAGATTTAAGGACGATGTGGATGATGTTAAATTATCAAGCATTTGGTGTAGTTGAAGTGGTGTAAATATTTTGCTATTTATTTTGTGGTTTCGCCAGTTGCTCAATACGTGAAGGGCTAAAATTTTTTTTATGGAATTGTCCACTTCATCCTTAAAACTGAGACCGTCCTGTACAATAATTTCATTATTTATTTTATAGAATTATGGTTAAGTTTACAAAAGGACACAAAAAAGGTTATTGTAATTTTTGATTAACCCGAGCTGTGATTTTGCTTACGTTTATCTATAGACGCAGTGTCATTAAATACATCGAATTGTAAACCATTAAGAATTAGTACGTGTATGTATTTCCTTAGTTGGCACTGCATCCGAAACTCTCATGTCTTCCTCTCATTATGTATCATGTCATACTTTTGTTTAATAGGAAATAATAAAAGAACTACAGTATTTTTTTAATGTGGCCAAAAATATCCAAGATCTTAGCCGTGGAATAACAATATTCAAATTCACTTTATCGCCACTAGAATTGTTTCCAATAGATTTAATAACTATGAATCCGAATTTTTCTATATTTTCTCAACTCTAGCCGAAATATAAAATTGTTTAAAAACAGAAATAATTTGATTAAAAATACTTTTTTAAAAATTATGCAATATGAATTTTATAATTTTGCCACAGACTTTTTAAATCTATTGTATCTTTTTTTAATCTGTATTAAACAAAAGTTTGATGTGAAATGGAAGATGTTTCTGTCAGATTAAATCTGGTCACATTTATCAGTATCAGATACATTTAGTAAGTTTCGTATCGTTTAATGAACTTTAGCTACCATAATTTTTACATCGTTTACAGTTTTGTATTGAATTTCTTATATTTTTTACTTTCCTACTTAAGTTTTGCTAATAAAATGTTTTTATAATATGAACGTTTTTTATTACTGTTTCTTTTGTTTTATTCCCTTAGCCAAGAAAAGATCACCAATGAAAAGAGGCACCTTCTAGAGTAAGAGGTTAAATTTCTTTGTTAAATACTGAAATCTATAAGGCCAATACGTTCTCAAAACTATAGAGACAAAACATATTTTCAAGTGATTATAACAAAGTTTCCATGCATAAAGCAGAAGGGTAAGTATTTGAATAATTAAAAAAACCCTTAGTAGTAACTTTACTGAATAAAATAGCATTGTAATAAATGTTAGAGACGAAAACAAAAGGTGCATATAAAATAGACGCGGACCATCTTTAAGAGGCATTGTTCGCTCGGCTCCGACCTCCCCTGGTACAGCAATTACTTCTATTGTATGTAACACGATACTATCTAACGCTTCCGATGGATTTACGTCAACAAATCTGCTTTCCATGCATTGTTTTATGTAACAAGTTTAACCGGACACAGTGTCTATGGCCGGGTAATAACCATCCTACAAATGCACTACCAAAACTTACTTATTAGAGATATAATAGATGCAGTTTCTTAGTACAAATAAAGATTATAATTAAAGATGCAAAAACGCATTCTTACAAGATTCTAATTAGTTCTAATTATATTAAGGGTCGGTGGCTCGAATTCGATTGATTTGACCTAATGTTTTTCGATTTTGAAATTCATATAATGTTTCTTTACCCGACGTTCGTACGGTGCAGAGAAACATTGCAATGCAATCTGCTCCTGTCAGGGAAGAAATTGAATATGTGAAGATCAACCCGCATTCGTCTTAGCTTGCTTAACTATGGCCAAGTCAAAGTAAGTTAGGGTAGGCTATGTACCACTCAGTGGAGACCTGTAGTCAGCTGATTATAATGATGTTGGAAAAACGTATTTTTATGTTACAGATTACACTCGCACGATGTAAAAAACTTTAAAAAGTAGGCAAAACTAGATAACATTTACAACCTCTACTTAGATACGAACTTAAGGCCTGAGAGACTATGATTTATCAACATTTATAGCAATAAATCTTTATAAAGGATCTAAAAATGGCGAATGTTTTCGTGTAAAAAATCCATGCAAGCTTTTTCTCACGTAAACATGTGTGATGACACGGTTGATTGATACGGAGAGCGATAAGAACATGCTTACGATTTCAAATCCAGTGCCGATCGCATGAATATTTACAAGACATTCGCAACGATAACCGATAATGTATTTCTTAAATATAGGCTTCGGTTAATCGTTAGATTGAACCTAAGACCCCTACAGGCTGTTTAGAAAGCTGAATATTAATTATCAAAATACTTTTTTTTTAATAAGTAAAAACATTTTCGTCGTGGATTGTTTACGCCTCTGTCATATTTTGATAAAAAAATCTATTAATGATAGGTTTGATTTAAATCTTTTGGTTTTAGTTTTTTTAATCTCTTGCAGAATTTATTCTTAATTTTCCTTCCTTGTAACAAAATCCATGTAATGATTGGTACTTGTAAAAAATATAATTTACGCTAACGTTAAAAAAACTGTGTTCGGCTTAATTTATAACAATTATCTTTATTGTCTATTACTTCCTATTGCAAGTATTGGCTTCCTGTAACATTTTTTATAAAGCAAGCAGGTGTTTGCTCTATGAGGTTATTTCTACGAACCCGCTTGTTTTTATAGAACTAAAAAATACGTTTAATAAACATTAAAATTTCGAATAACAGTTAATTATTACATAGGCCTCTAAAAACTCCAGATTTGCTTATTTTATATTGGTAATTGAAAATAACAATAAAATACATTCGGTTATTACGAGTAATCATAAAGTTTACCATATAAAGGCGAAATTAAATTTTTAATTAGTTTGACACTGAATCAAATTATGGTAAACAAGGAAATAAAGTTTTTAAATGGACCGTATCTGACTACACCGGTCAGTTTTTTAATTCGTCATTTTACGAAATGTGAGACACATTTAAAATGTGATTGATTTGTATTGAAAATTGCGAAACACCAATTGTTACTGGTTACTTATTCTTAGTGGCCTTTTGAACATATTTTGCAGTACAAAATTGGATAGTTGGTTAGTTGTTAGAGGACGACTAACACATCCCTACTATTAAACTCTATCTCACAAGCATTCACAAGGTAACAATAAATATCTACAAAGAAAGTAAAAGTTAAAATTACGTCGGATACTTATTAAATAAATTGAAAAGTGTAATTCGCTTATAAGAAAAGCAAACAAAGTGTGTCCAGTGGCCGCTGACCGTGGTGTCGCTAGTTACGCGCAAGTACGGCGTGCATCATGAAGGCATGCTTACTTTCTAAACCTGATGGGCCGCCAATTATCACAAGAAGCAATTTTCTACTAATCATTTGGCGTGACATGTAATAGGTATAAAATCTACTCTCCTAAAAACATATTGCATTAACTACGCTCATTATGGCTAAAGGCCACAAATACTTTCCTCGCGCCATCGCTTATTATATAGATTTTAAAGCTTTGACGGCCATGTGTCTTATGCGGACTACACACGTTAGGATTTAAATAAGTTTTTGATCGTCCATGCATAACTAACAGACAAAATGTATCGTACATAATACATAAACGCACGGTTCTGTGTGTGAAATTTCGTATCTCCGTTGGTTATGCCTGCAAGGTTAAAACTGTCATGCATAAGCTAACGTGTATAGCCAGCATAACTCTTAGTATAATATTACATGCATTGGGTTTAATTACTACTCGCGTCAAAATATTTGTCAGGTGTAATTATAAACATTTGTTTCTATACCAACATCACGATATTTCAAACGAATTGACTGAATCAATGAAAGCTTATTATTGGATATTCCAAGTAAGCTATTAAAAGACACTAACATTTCTATTCACTGTATTACAACTGTTTTAGTATTGATTAAATAAATACAGTGATAGTCAAATAGTCTTGCTAATATTATAAATGCGAAAGTTTAGATGGATCGATGTTTGTTAGAGTTTGTAGCCTAAACGGTTGAACGGATCTCGATAAATTGGCATAGACGTAGAGGATAGTCTAGAAGAACACATAAGCTACATACTTTGTATTTTTTTAATTCCACGTAGACAGAGTCGCGAAAGCTAGTCTATTACCATTGTTTCTTTATTTACAAATAGTAACCATTGTGAAATTAAATAAGGCTAAACGCATTAAATCACGTATTTATTATTTAAGGTATATTCAACGCTTTAGAAAATGGATTCTGCGAAATCGTATGAATCTGTTGATTGTCTTCACCTTTCCGTGGCCGATGGAATATTTTAAGACGATACGATCGTAGGAATGTTTGAATGCAATGTCACAGCCTCCGAGATACTCACGATCTATTTAAATATCTTCAGTAAAATTATTGATACAACATCAGGTAAAAGATAGCGATGAATTTAGTCATGTTTCACCTCGCATTGCCTACGCCATAGTAAATTTGTACGCCTTAAAAATATATAATAGCATGTTATATTATTTTAAGCAAGGACAAAAATAATGCTGTGCTTAAAACGTATTTAATTTCATCATACACAATAATAATAAAGAAAAAATTATAAAAAAAAACATAGCCTATGTTACTCATAGACACATTACCCTCCTAATGGTGAAAGAATTTTTAAAATCAGCCCAGCAGTTTTTGAGCATATTCATTACAAAGTTTTCCTCTTAATAATATTACTATACACTACCATTTAATTTGTTAATTAATATTTTCTATGACGCAATAATTATAATAGAATTTCTTATGTTTAATTTATGAATCGTAATTTGTACTTAAACTTAACGTGTCATAAGTTAATGTGGAGTCTTGTGAAAAGGTTGCGCGGAAGCGGTTAAATATAATAATGGCTGAATTTACGGGTATATTATTATACATTTAACAAAGGTTATGTCAATCTTAATCAAAAGTGTTGCTTTAAGAGCATTAATCTTGCCTATTATTGCCTATTTCATTAATGATGCTGTTAAATGAGACAGTAAGTGGCTATTTCCACATCAGCGACTAGCGCGCGTACCCACCATTTTCTAAAAGTCACTTAATATTGTATTTTTACTACACCTCAACTGCGAAACAAAATGACAAACGCCCGCTGCCCTCATGCAGTTAGGCGCAAGTGAAAATAGCCTTTTATTCAAGCTATAAAATTTTAAGTGCTACAGTAATAATATTAAATTTCCATGTTTGTATTAGATAATATGTTGATAATATCATTATTTATTGAGGCGTTAAATGACCGATGAATACGTTTGGAAAACTGTAACCTCTGTGAATAAATGTGTGGGTGTGCCGTACAAACGAATTCGGGTCCCGCGGCACAACCTACCCTTGAACTACGAATGCATCGGAGGGCATAATATTGTAAGCTGAGGGGAAATGGACTTACCAGCTCGATGACCGCCACACCTTCTGCAGGTGCCTGGTCTCAGTCAGTGTCAACGAGTCAAAGTCTGGTTCTGTCAAGCGTACAGGCGTCAGCGATGCTGCCTGCGCCGTAAGGATTTCGAACGCGAAACCGAATTTTGAGCGACCCCGTTCGCTATTCGAAATTGACAAGCCCTTTTTGTCCTCGCGTTGTCGTACAAGCAACCACTTTCAACTTTAATCTGCACACGTCTTCTGACCGACTCTTGGCTTGGCTGCATCTTTCCGACTCTTTTTTTACCGTTTACCTCTCCGCAGGCCCCGTGCTCGTCACTAGTGGAGAGGGATTTTCCAACTACCCACCTGTGCGGGTGAAATAAAATGAGCGCGCTTACCCGCACTAAACTCGGTGCGCGAAATTTAAATTATGCTCGTCACCGAATGTGACGAACCCGTACTATCTACACCGAACAGTGGGTATGGAATAATATTTTCTACATATGCAAAAAAAAAGTGTTATTCCGAAAATATCCCTTTTATCCAGTTCGTCCTTCCATCATTCAAACATATTTCTTTTAAATCTGTAAATTTACAGAGATAACTGATACTTATCATTAAATTGAATTAAATGTAAATAAAAGATTATGTATTGTCTTGTAATTTTTTTAATCCGATTAATAACGATCATTTAATCAAATTATGCACTTAACAACTTCTGTTCTTGTGTGTGTACCATAATCACTAGGTAATTAATATCACCAAAAGGGTGCTCGACGACCAACGCTTAAACAGATTCAATTAATTCCAACTTGCTTACCAACATAAATACAAATTGTTTATCTAGTGAGACATTTTTTCTTAAGTGTATAGCTAAAGAAAGATAAAATAAATAAATACATCTTAAAGTAAGCAGTCTATTTCTTAGGGTCCCTGTAGACGCCCATGAAAAGCACAGAGTTGGTGGGGCGCTCGTAGATGATGTACACGAAGGGGAAGTTGGCAATGAAGACGCTGGGCTCCGCCGGCCGAGACGACCTGAAGCCGAAGATCGCGGTGGCCGCCGCCGCCACCGTACCTGCAAATAACATTTACGAACCTTGTCACTAAAAGTGTTAACTGTAATAGTGAACCACAATAAAGTAACAATTTATAATTCATCGCTACATTTTATAGCACTGTCTGTTCGTTATTTTTGTTTATTGTTAAATTTCTGCACTAAAGACACTATTTTACGGGCTTTTAACTTATTTATCGTATCACACTTTAGAGAAAAGATATTTACCTTCTTCGTCAACTTGTATTTTCGCTTGATGGATGGCATCATCAAATCGAATGCCGTGGTCTTCAGTCAGCGTAGAGAAGTCTGCGCTTGAGTTGAACAGGTCACCCACTCCCAACCCTTCTAAAACCTATTAGAAGAAACATGTTAACAATATTTAATAATATAATTTCAGTTAGTTTATTTTTTTTAATATTGGTGGAATTTCTTAATTAAGTAATATCTTTTTTACCGTTCCAACTAAGCTCTAGGCTAGGAAATGATTTACGACTATAGTCAAATGATTCGAAAAGATTCGAACTCTCGACCACGTAATTGGAAATCCGTACCTCTAACCATTAGACTACAGACGCTTCAAGTTTCTTATCTTGTTAATCATTTTTACGTAATATTAAATTATAACTTTAGACGAGATAAATTTAACACAGAACTTACACTCTTGATACTAAGCGACCTCTCCATCGTGAACTTGGGTATCTCTACCACGACTTCGCGGCCCATGAAGCTCTCCTCCACTACGGCGGCGAGACGCTCCGGTGTCAGGTTAGCGATTATATTTGTCACACCTGTCACAGCATACACATTTTAAATACATATTTTGTATGAAATTATATAATTAAGTGTTGGTAGGGCCCGCTTTAATATCTTCGGACGAAATGGCCCGATGAAATACTACGACCACACAGGAGACGGGCGTGAAGCGGGAACAATTCTGCTTTTAGTGTGATGAATGTGGTACCGGAGGCCCAACTTTAGTCCCTTATCATATATAAAAATTATAACAATAACTAAACAAGACACAGTACCTTCCTTCATGGAGTAGGGTGGCAGGAAAATGTACATGCTGATGTCATTGCCTTTGTATGGAAGCTCCAAGATCTGAGCGCCAAGGTCATCGTTCACCACTGAAATGATAAAAATTTCATCATTAAGGACAAGCTTATCTGAGTATGTTGAAATATTGATATAAAGGAAAAGTGAAATAAATTATTCCACGGATATTATTAATTGTTGACATGACGTGTTGATAAAAGTTAAATAAAATCATATAAGTCAGAAAAAAGCTTAGTAAAAGCTTCTTATTCATTATTTCACTACTCGCCGGTTAAAAAATTGCAAACTACGCTCCGTATTCGAGACTAAGAGCACGCGTACACCTTTGATTAAGCTATCGCATATTTGTTTAGTGCAACTAAACACTTGAATTGACTACGAAACAATTGACAATCGGATAATAGTTGTGCGATAGTTTAGTCGCAGATGTGCGCCCGCTCTTAATATAATTTATACTTACTATAATGGAAGATTCCTTTCTGTTTCATAAAATGCGTTAATGTCTGACGACTCTCAGACACAAAGAAGGGTTCCTTTTTCGTTCTTTCGGGCAAGAACTTCGATGCCCATAATCCTTTGAAGTAAGCCGCATTGGTTAAAACCAATCTAGTTATTTCTGTAATCGCACGAGGGGGTAGGAAGTCTTTTATATTGTTCTTTGTGACTCTTGAAACCCAATCGTTTATGTATTCGCGTGACTCGCCCGGCTGTCCTTGGAAATTCTGGAAATATTTATGATAACATTGAGAAAAACATAGTAAAAAGTCAAATAATTTTAAAGAAAGATTAGATAGATATGCGCTTTAATCCAAAATCGCTGCACGTCTAAATAATAAATATACAATCATACAATACAAACTGGATGATTGGGATAGTTATAAGAAACTGGAATCGTACCACTATTGGTAAGAGCTCAACTCTTGATATTTATATTTGTGATAATCTCGTTTCTTACGAACATTATATAAGTAAAAACAAAAAACCGACCAGAATTTAATGTTATAATTAACGAACTCTACTCTTTTTTATATCTATACTAATATTATAATGATGAAATATTTGTATTTTTGTATGTATTAAAATAACTCCAAAACTACTGGGTTGAATTCAAATATTCTTTCCCCGTTGGAAAGGTAATTTATCTGCGAGTAACATAGATTATATATTTAAATTTCATGCGGACGAAGTCGCGAGCATCAACTAGCTAGTTATAAAAATAAATGAAAAAAATACACATCACTATGTATGTATGTTTCAGGATAGTTTTTATATAAAAAATAATTTAAAAATCTTTGTCACTGTATTCGCTACGCGACATCTAATTAGAATTTTAGTGTCGTATTCCATTGAATTGAAGAATTACGATTGTCCTCGCACACATGCATTTATATGAGTAACGTCTTTGTTGTCTTTATTTTTTATTCAATCTTACATATAATAATATTAGCGATGGTATCTACTCAAGTTTTATTTTATAACAGAAGTTTTTTTCTGAACATACAATTTATAACAATAAAAGGATTTAATAAGTGTTGCTAGTGTTATATTTTCTAAGTATGTTTGAAAATCTGTAAATACACGTTCATTAGAACATAACTATAATTTAGTAATCAGTTCGAAAAACATCGAAGAATGTTTTCAATAACAGCAGCTGTAGAAAATATGCATGAACTAAATCATTGAGTATTATATAAGCTACCCACGCATATCACCAGCGTAAGGTGTAGCAATACTCGGTCAAGGATTTTATTAAGTAAGACTGTTATGACGTCATAAATTTTATAAGAGGTATATTGTATTCTTTCTACTTTTTTATGGTAACTCCGGATTTTAGTTAACACGGAGGCAAATAGGTAAAGAATAAAGAGGATGTTGTGATAATCATAATTGTAAAGGGTGTATGTATAATATATACTGCATAGCTTTTAATATTTCGAGATTCATGGTTCCCATAAAGATACACTGGGGACACAAAAGTGGGCAAGGAAGGGCAGTTCCCTCTAGCCTAGAGAATTGAGAAATCTAATATAGACCTAAATTTGAATAAAACAATATTAATGGTAGCTGACCCTCGCCCCTTCCCCCCACCTTAGACCAAGCCAATAGATCGAAAGTGTGTATCTTACCAAGGCTTCAATTTCAGCGCCAAGTACGTCGAGCATGCACTGTCGCACATGCAGGCCGCGATCCACGAACATCTTGTTGACAGACGTGAACTCGTAGCTGTCACTGTTGTTGTTCATTGCACGCGACGTCTTGTCCACCTTGTACGCTGTCATCAGGTTGATCTTGTCCTGGAAATGTACAATACCGTATTTAGTCAGACAGCGATGTATCAATACCCTTATCTTTATTGTTTGTGGTGTTTAAGATGAGACAATCAAGAAATGCATGCCTTTATGTAGGTTTCGATGGCTGAATATGTGGAGCTTGAAATTTACTCACCATTTTGTCCGCGATTTTCAAAGATCGTTTCAACGATTGCTCAGTTTGTCCACCCGCTCCGAAGTATCCCAGCAACAGTGCGTGGTACACGGAGAACGGTGAAAAGAATATGTTATCATCGGGCACCTTTTTGTTTATTTCATTAAAGAGATGGAGAGTGAACTCCAGTTGTCCACGATACAAAGACATCCGCGATTCCGGACTAAGCTTCTTTGATGAATCATCCTTGTAGAAACACTGGCTATTCACCAGTGTTGATGATATTAAAAATATTAGCGCTCCTATCTTCAGCATTGTTAATCTGAAACAAAAGAAGTTTTAAAATCGTGCAAGTCCTTTTAACTTAATTTAAGTGGCGAAAAAAACTTTGATCCATTTATCAAATAAATAACGCACGCATTTCGAAAAAGACAATTTTCATTCATGTTATATTTTCTTTGTCCAAATTGCATTGTTAACATTACCGTAAAATTTGGGGCAATTTCAACAACAGTGCTACCAATTTCTTCCACACATACTTGGTAATGTACTTTAATTTCAAAACTACTTATAGAACTTTGTCACGTTTAGAACCTGTCAAAGGAGTCATGGTATAACTTTTCAGTGACCTCAAAACATCGTTTTGTTTCGTAAAAACGGTTACTAACGGATGAGGCCATTTTGAAGCGCTTGTAAAGTGACGTAATACTTGCATCTGGCAACAACGGATTAAACTTTAACATTTACTTGATCCTTAGAGCATAACATTATTATTTAAGACTAAAACCTCGTGTTGAATGTCAAATATTGGCATCTCTCATATAACTATTCACATGCTAGTATATACCTATTAGAAGCGTGAGCATAAATTACAATTTTGTTCTAACTAAGATTATCCCAGTAGAAATGAAACATGTTCTAGAAATAATTTTTAGACATTACAGAAAAATACACTCGAGTAAAGTTTGAAAAAAATATCTTGTTCTCGTTATCCAAAAAACTTCATCAATAGATGAATCATCAATGATGAAATACCTAATAAGATAAAATGAATTCATAATTTATCATAGGAGTATTTATTATTTAAAAGGCTGCTAAAAATGTACTCACAAATAAAATAAATCTCCGATGAAACGTTCCAGTTCTAATTCCGTATTACTGTTACTGTACTGTTACTAATTACACATAGAGCTATCTCAAAATAAATCACAATACAACTAAATATTCACAAAAGGAGTGAACGGTCGAGAGAGTTCATCTCGGCTGTGGAATCACCGCGCTTTCTCTCGTCGCGGCCACTCGCTACGTCAGGGGGCACTGCTGGGGAAAGACCGAAGGGGAAGGGGAGGGGACTGACGAATGACGAATGCTACAAACGTAGAACGAACTGTTAAAAAAATCACGTATAATTCAAAATAAAATTTTATGTATAAGAACAGATAAATAATTGCATTTTACATTACGTTTTTGAATAGATAAATTAAATTATAAAAAAACTTTCACAAATCTATGCAAGTTAACTGTTTTATTATACGCCTAATTAATAATCTCTCTAATTTGTTTTTAGCAAGTGGCTATGAATTTTCAATTTTCTCCGAATCTTGACAAGACACATCTTGTCTATCAAATCAGTGAAAATGAGTGAAATGAAAGATACTGTAATTAATTACCACTATTACAGTATTATTAATAACTAATTAATATTAAATGTATTTTTAACAACTTGCTCTGATAAATATTATGAGTGAGCGTGTATATTTATTTGCTAATTATTGCAATTTTTTAATTTTTTATTAATTAAAAGAAATAGTAATCAAAGTCAGTAGAAATAAACGTTTACAAACACATTTTAGTTCTATTTACGGCATTCATTAGCGACGTTGAAATGAGCGAGCGATTTGTCACGATCAATTTTTATCGTTACGCGGCTGCCCCGAGTTAATACATCAACTGATTGGGAAATCCCAAGCCACGGTACAATTGCAAGGCTGCATATATTTCCCATTAAGTCGTATTTACAGCTTATTCATTGCATATTCGATTTATTCTGTTAAAGCTTTTATATACAGGAAATACATATACTGAAGATACTTAAAGCATAAACTTTAATACAGGAAAATAAAACTAAACGACTTGAATTACAATTACTTTGTACTGTAATAGTCGTACTAACAACTATAAGAACAGTCAAATTGTATTCTAACCACTCTATAGTAAGTCACATATAACGGATGCTTCAACGTCTACGTGATTATAATAACTGTTGCATTCCACTGTCTAAACTATTCTGTAAAAATATTCATAAATATTCATATCCCTCTACACTTTATTGAAGAAAACAGAGACAACGATATCTCTCAATACAAGTTACAGGACAGTGTAACTTTACTGTAATAGTTAACACGAAATTCAATGCGTTCGTTGCAGTGTTACGAACGTCACGGGGTTTTCCGATCTCTCTGTATAGCACCGATCACTATTGTAATTTCGCGTGGGTTTCCCTCCGACCAGCCTGATGATTCTCGGCCGCATTGCGGAGAAAGTCAACAATGCGTCACACTTTTATTACACAACAGCCGGATCGTCAAAGCATGTCAATACTATTACGTACGAAAAGGTAGCTGGAAAACTCTGTGTCCTAAATTACAGTCGCCTTCTTTCGCGGTATTCTAATTACAGAAAAATGCCTTGCACAATTAACGTAATCTTCTTACAAATATGTTTTGTCCTAAAAAAGTATTACAAATGAGTAGTAAAAAATAAAGTTTAAGAGGTTATACAACTACTAGCTGGTGATATAACAAGGAGAGAAATGAGATGAGAAAAGTCTCAGCAAAATTGCAATAAACCTTTTTTTAATTAATTTCCAAAATAATAAAAGTTTTGTTGGATTATCGTCGTATGTTGGCTTTGAAACCGCACTTTTTATAATCATGTAGTTTAATGAGTACATGCAACGGTATGAGCATGCTCGATTTGTACTGGTTCATTTTTGAATCATTATAATTTTGTGCAATACACATATACGACCCGAGAACCGCTAGTCAGAATTGATTTATTATTTATGTTTGTTGTCTGGATTTGTGGAAATAAAAAAGTGAATAACAGAGAGCTTTTTTATCTTATCTTTGTGCTCATACATGTTAACTTAAAAAAATAACAAAAGAATGGGACATTGTTTAAGATATTTAACAAAAATTTTGATAAAGAACTCAAATTTTCACAAAAAATGGCAAAAAAAAGCTCAAACACGCTATACTTATGTACGTACGTACGTTTTAAATTTGATATATTGCTTGTTAAATAATGGTTGTCTGGCTTTTTATTTTAATCCAGCCTAGATGTAGTTACACATTGATAAATTTCTAGATATACCTTGATGAATGCTCTTTAATTCAGGGTTACAACTTGTTTTAACACAAACATAATATAAACTATTACAATATTGTAAGAATATGCAAATTAATTATCCTTATAGCAATCACCTTGTTTATATTAAGATTCTCTTGAAGGGTCTGTATTAATTAACATTGGTCATTATTTCCAGTTGTAAAGTATATAGTTTTCTTATAGTATCTTTTCTTATCCGTCCGTTCGTTTCTAGTCACGGAAGCCACACTCAACTTTACAAAAGTCACCTATAGAGTGAGAAAAAGTACAAAGTGATCTTAAAATAAGAATCAAAGTAATAACACCTATAATAAAATTACTCATATTACAAATAAACAATTACATTCAGGGTCAGCAATGATTGTAAAGATAAGATAAAATGTTTTGTAATGGAGATTTGAGGTCGACAAAACAGAATGAGATTCTTTGTTTGCCTTCTACTACCGATATGCTATCCTTCTTTTATCTTTGAAAACATAAAGACATTAATATTAATAATGTCTATGTGGAATTTTGTGTTTTCAAAGCATTGATTATAACATCAGCGTAAACCTTATAGTTATTTTATGTACCTTATATGTAGTTGTTGTTATATACTGAAATTAATGTAACAATAATTTCAGAAATTACTTCAATACGTATTACAATTTATAGGAAAAAAATCATACCGATAAAAATATACAGTTTATCGAATCTAAAGAGGTCTTGATCTCAACATGACCTAACGGAATCAATATAAGTGCGCCCGTCGATAAACACACTGCCTTTCAAGATACCATGTAACAACTAACTACATATAGAAACAGTAATTTACTAACAGTGGGTTTACACTGCCCAAAGACTTGATAAAAATATTATCAACCTTCTGAAGCCGATGACGAAAAGATAAAACGCCGCGGCAGAGCTATCATTCAATAAAACTCGCCTGACAATGGCAGACACTGATTCATGTTTATTCTTATGCCACGGATGTAAACATTTGTGTTGGCATTGACAGAAAACCCTACACTCTAATAAACAATAATCATGCATATTATACAAATGATTTTTTTAGCCTTCAATTATCTCTTCAACGTTCAGAAAAAATGATTGTTGTGAAAACATACAAACGCTCCTATTAAAATTTTCAAAGGACGATGCTTGTACCTTTTTCCGTAACTATTATCTAACTAAATGGCACTTAAACGACGACTTCCTTTTGAAATTGCAGTATGTGGAAAGCATTATCTTATTGCTACGAAGCAAAAACAAAATGTTTTTTTGGCTATTTAACAGAAAAACCCTAAAAAACATGAGGGTAAGATTTTATGCATAAGAACTTTGGACTTTATATATTCTCAAACTTAACTTACAAATTATGTACTGATTGTTTTTTTTTGTAAAGAGAGGTATATGCATGTTTGTTTATATATCTAAAATATTTTAGTTGTTTTGCATGTAAAAATATTCCAATGTGACCACCAGATATAAAATAAACCACTTGACTGGTTTTGAAGTGCAAGGTGTCAGTTAGTATTTATATCTACCTCGGTTGTTGGAGTACCTCGAGTAGGGTCGATCAGGTTCCTTAGTTGTCTTAACATCTTTTATATTTTAAAAACAATAATTCAGTTCACGCAGTTCAAACGATGTAGATGTCAGTGAACAATGCAGTTGCATGAGAATTGGTCACAGTGAATTAGAAAGCGTTCACGACAAATCAGCACCGATCGCTATCGACCGGCGAATAGATTTAAACAATCATGTTTGTGTGACTGTTTATTATATCAATATTTACTTTACGTTTATTATCTGCCTCTACAATAAATCGAACACGATAATTCATTACAAATAACTGCATTACAGTTTTACTAAATTTACACCAGTCCACTTAACATTAAGTTTTGTTTTAAGAATTTCTTAATAAGAACAAAAACAGTTTAAAAATTACAAACAAAGCGAAAAAGTTTGTGTTAATTTAAAACAACTGGACTCACCGTTTGCAGATGTCCTGATATGTCAATGACTTCTTCAAAAAATGTTTCTCGACAATATAATAATATCCCGGCTGCTATACACCCGGCGGTTATTTTAAAAGTAATAAGTTAGTGTATACTGTGCATAATAATATAAAATTCTATCGAACGTTATGCCACGGCAACGCTCGGAGACAGACTGAATGAGGGCCAGCCGCTATCCTCTTTTTTATGTAACTGTTGTAAACTGGTATGCGCCTGCAAAGCACGCACACCGGTGTCAACAGAGACCGAGGAAAATGAAAACAACCTTTTAGTCGCTTCGCGCCACGTTCTCGGGGTCTTGCGCTGGTACATTTGATAGCATCTCATAAAATTAATAACGCTAATGCTGAGTTAACGGTACGTATTATCGGTAACAGCGTCATGTATTGGGAATGCTGTTTCGGATAAAACAGAACTCCGATAACAATAAACACGTAAGATTATTCCCCAAAGATAACCTTTTTGGCTTCCTTATTTTTGACATGCACGGTAAGCTCAAATGGTAAGGAGATAAGAATAACCCATTTTAAGGGTCAATTAATTTCTACGAATCAATAAATACAGAGGAATTACATATAAAAGATGTGTCAGACGTTAAATAGGACAAGTGTAAAGTACATAAGGAAAACAAGAATGAAATCATGAAAAGAAAAAGATTACTGCTGTGCTTATCTACATGTCTGCATTTTGAGAGGTTTCAAACAAAACTGTCAAGTTCTTATAAGAAAGTTATTATTTAAGTAGCAGTAAAAATTGAAAACTAAAATTATAAAATAATTTTAACACATATTTTACTAATATCGTTTTTCCATGGGTTTTCTTTTATCTTGATAAATGGTTGAAAATTACACCAATATCTATAAATCACAGCCGCAGAACCATAAATTAAAAAAGGTATTTTACTGTGGAAAAATAACTGTGATAATGGAGGTAAATATGTGCGAGTTATTTACAATCGGGTTATATCTTTGAACTGCAGTATATAAATACATTTGTTGTAAAAATAAACTAATAATTTTACACGAACTCTAACCGTGATCATAGTATCGTGACATTTAAATGCAATATCAAGGTATTTTTTTTTAATTCAGACGTAGAAATCTATTTTCTTATGTAGTCTTGTAAAAACCTGCCAAATAAAACTTGTTGATTGAACGTGTTGCAACTTTAGGAATTTAATAATTAATATTTTATGAATTATTTTGATCACTGACGGTCTGTTCTTCCAAGCATTCTTAATACCTACTTCATTGAGAAATCGAGCCACTATACTGTATGTAATTCAATTTAACGCACACAAAATATTATCCATTCATTAGGAGTCCAATTCAGCTACAATAGTAATTTCCCTATTTCGCAAATGCCCCTTTTGTGACATGCCCATTGAGTAACAACGAACTGTAATCTCTCATTATCGATGGTTACGGTTCCTGATATTATACAATTAAATCAGTCATCAGCCTACTTAGCGGCTGATGAATGTGGAAAGTTACTAACACTAACAACTGTTTTCCGTTACATGTACTGTTTTCTATTTATAAATACTAACTAATAAATAACAATAAGTATTGATAGAGTAACTGCATCTATATAATATTTAGCCTGTCACACTAAATTGCAAATTGTCTGTTAACAATCCTACGTGTAAAATGTGATGGAAATATCGAATTTTGTTCCCTTATCTGACCGTGACGCCATTTTTAAGCAATCTGAGCCTCTATCAGCCAGTTTTGGTACAGGCCCTTGGAGTATAATAGTAAATAATGAATATCGAACGCTCGAATAAATACGGAAAATATCTTACGTTTGTCCAAACAGCAAAGGATTTTCGAAATGGATATCTTCTTATTTAATTTACAATGAAGTAGTCATTGCAACATTAAACTTGAAAAAAAGTTAAAGTAGTAACTTGGATATGACACGACAAATTTAAATAACCTCAATTTAAAACGATGTTTACGTTAATCAAACTAAAATTGTATGACCAAGCATCAGATGAAACCAGATCGTGGTAACAAGTACTCAAAAAATTGCAACTCATATTAACCGTGAGTGTTTAATAAGGGTTGTTTTATAATTTTATAATTGTCCATATAAAATAAATAGACGCTTAATTATTCAGTTGATGAAACGGTTTATAAAGTCCGCAAATAATCTGTTTTTTATGGACATTTGATAATTCTTAAAGTGGAACAGATCATCAATTACTTTTTGTACGTTTGCAATTGCAAGCTTTCATTGAATTTACAATTATGTAGGTATCAATATCGTGATCTCAAATATAAAACTTTCTATGAACGTCTATTTGACGTTTCCAATCGTTCCACTTTGCTGAAGATCTTATGATTATTTGACAGGCGCTAACCTAGAACTGAATAGCATACTTTCAATATGAACTTATCAACAACTATAAACGTGAATTTTATTTGAACGCCTTTAGATATGTAATAGTGAAAAGATCATTGACTGTTCATGTGATATAGATTTTTTGGAAATTCAAGGATCGGACAGAGGTATATTATAAAAAATATTTAACCGCTTAATAGGTTTTTGACCGACTTCCCAAAAGGAGGAACTCAATTCGTCTCTATGTTTTTTTATGTGTGTTACGGCATAACTCCGCTGCGAGTGGACCGATTTTGATAATTCTTTTTTATCCGAAAGGTAGTGGTTGCAGGTGGGTCCCATCTTTTTTGTTTGATTTTTGGAGTCAAAGACTACAACGTAGTTAGTTTAGCTTAAAATCGCGTGACGAAATTAGAGGTCTTTTTGCTTTCTTTGCTTACTTAGCCTAATTTAGATTATTTTTCGCTGATTATTGGAATTCATTTTATTAATATATCTTATTACCATTACGAATAACTCAAAGCTAACGTTTATTCTACAACGATGTCCAGGCTTCGAATGTCAAACCGGCATTAGTTGCCCGTACCCCAATGGGCCATTAGCGCATTATCTCAGTTTTGAAATTATGTGGCCAGATGAACAATAACTACGAAAAAAGGTTAGAAATAAAACAACAAAATAACACAACATAATTTATTCTTCCGACCTAAAACCTGTTCAAAAAGTTTTATTATGTAATTTTCATCAAAATAATCACATCTCAAAATTGTTGGCGCTATCTGATAGCAATATGTACTATATTTATGTAAAACTAAAAAGCACCGTAACCGAAATTTATTAAATTATTATTATGCTCGTCAGAATTATGCTGCCTTCTGTACTTGTACGGAATGTCCGGAAAATTGACACATCCTTGATACCAGGGATGCACTTTAAAAAAAATATAATCGTTTTAAATAAAATCGATTTTACAAGTGTTCTGTTCGAAGCGATAAAAATAAGAAAAACAAATATAAAAAACGATATAACGAAAGATAATGCAAAACATGTGTATAAAACAGTTTCAAAATTGAATCGTTTTTCATATTAAAAAATAACAAAATTATTCCTCGATAAAATCAAAGTTCAATAAATTAGGGAGATACTTCGTGCATCCCTATTTTAGATCAAAATAAAAGTTTACATTAATTCGCAGTACATCGAAAACCTTAAATACTAATTATTATGAGTGGATTACAAAAAGCGTCTTCATTCACGTATTTTATTTGGGCAGTTTGCCCACCTCGAACAGATAAGCCGCGAACAATTTGATCTGAAAAATAAACTATTATTAAAACCAAAAAAAAAGTTGCCAAAAAACCAGGTCTGTCGTTTAAATTAACATTTACAAAAAAAAAAATTTGAAATTCCCTAAGTTTGTACTAGAGCTCGACATAGCTGAATGGTGGGTTTTGAACCCGTCACGCGATCGGAAGTCCGTGATTGTAACCATTAGCCTATTGTTAAACAAATCTATTATATTGGCAACATTGTTTATATTATACTATTTTTGGAACAAGTGATTTTTTCTTTTTTTATTGTCGATACAATTTTTCTTTCAATATGAATACACAATTGTTATTAACATTAAAGACGATAGCCTGATAAAAAGTTCAGCATAAATAAACACGTTTATAAATATTTCTGTTCTAGTTATCAGATAGAATTCCAGGCAAACAGGACAAGTGTTATCTGTAGCGGTTTGGTTGAATTATAAATAACATTACATTTCACATTATACACAATAACCTATCTAATCATTTGAAATATAAAAATAGTTGCCACATTTGTAATTTTTAGTGGAAAATTGTAAAATTAAGTTCTATTGCTGTACAGCAAGTTAAAATTGCAGACGGGCGACTTCACAGATTGCCAAAATGTATATATATAGACCGACAAGGATTAGTTACTCGATGGGCATAAGTCAAACCAAATTAAGACAATTTACTATCACAACACTAACAATGATAAAAGTGTCATCATCTTTGTTCTATTATATTGTGATTTTTTATTTTATATAACTTACTAGATTTAAGTAGGTTTTACATACAGTTCTAATCATGATAGCAACTGCTTTCGCCGGGCCAAAGCCTGATTTGAGTATATCATCAATTTCTAAAAAATGATGGTCTAGTAAGATATAGCTATAGTCAACTGGAAAGGGGCTAATAGTAATAATCGTTTTTATCCCAAAAAATTCTTATCGAATGTTAAAAATTATTGAGAAATTATTGAATTTAGTCTCCCTGCCTCCTGAGAACATTTATACATATAAGCAAGTAGTAAATACGCTGAAAAATAACGTGGCCTTCAGTGACAAGCTGATCCTTCTTCTTTTGGCCAAGAATTGATGTGTATTTTTTGTGTTTAATTAATATGTTTTGTGAATTTAGTGTTTTTTTTTTTTTT